TAGTTTCTCTTATGCAACATTGGAACTACTGCCATGTTGCCTTGTACAATCAACTAGATATTTAGTGATGTTTATGCCCTCTGTTCTTAAATCTAGTGTGTTGATCCTGCCACAAATGCGTGTTTTGGAAACTGACAGTCCACAAAACATAACTTATACCATGTTTATCTATTTTTATATATTTGTAAATCCTTATTCAATTTTATGGTAAAATACTTTTGATTGGAGAGTTTAATGGCATGTATTTCTGACTGTAGGGAGTAATAAGCATTGTTTAGCTCAACTATGACTGTTAGGCCCATGGTCATATCCTCCAGATGCTCTTGCCGTGTATTCGGAGTAGATGTACTAATTTCTGTTTTCACATGGGTGGATTCTTACTGTTGAACTGGTTCTGGAAGTGGTTTGCTCTATGTTATAAGTCTCATATCTAATAATTACAATGAATCAAGCTTAACTAGGGACAAGAATCCTTTGTCAGCCAAATACTTGCTGTCCTCAAGTATTTGTTGTGAAGCTAGGAATGTTTGTGCTAGGAATTTCAGGATTATGCTTCACTCTAGTGCATGTCTCATTTATGCTGAGACTTCTCTTTTGATCAATTTGTATCTTGTGGCAAAATCCCATCAAGTTGATTCTGTGATAATTTCATCTCTTCAGAACGCCTTGTTAACCGCCAGAATAGCTGCTTCCATGCAGCTGATTTTCATCCCTCCATGCATGTCACCGTCATATCCCAACTTACACAAAATGGGAACTTCTCTGTTTTTCTTTTCTTCATGTGTTTCTGTTGTTTTTTATGTAGGGCTGGGATGATCCTTACGTGACTCGTACCCATGAAGGTCTTTTGAAGTGGAAATATCCAGAGATGAATTCAGTAGACTTTCTGTTCGAGGTCTGCTTTCTTCCATGCAAAGTTTTCAGATGGATTTACTTAGTTATTTATTGAAGTTTTCTTTCCATTGTTCAATCGTTGTAGATTGGCAGTGAGAATCGTCAGTTCATTTTCCTCTATGAGAGAGGTAGAAAGAAACTTATGGACGGTGCCCGGGTGGTGTTCCCTGGTAAGCATCCATTTAATTTAATTACTTGTACATTTGTCTTTATTTTCTGGATAATTTACAACGCATAGATGGTGCCTGGTTGGTGGTCCCCAGCAAGCATATATTTTTCATTTTCAAATCGTGCATCTATTTGACTTTATCAAACAACTTGTTTTTTTGGGAATTATAATCATGTCCTATGCTAATATTCTCATGAGCACACATATATTATGTTCCGAAATTTTGAATATAACCCAGCAACTTTTACTAAGCAGAACATACACTGGATTTTGTCCTTTAAATAGAACATACACTGGTTCAATGCTTTGTCGTGCACTTGTGTTATGTTCCTTGTTAAAATTTTCATTGGGATTTCCATGAGTTATATAGTGTTCCTATGGCTCTTGATACGCCTGATTGTTTCCTTTTTGCAACATGTCATGATTCTTGAAGTAGGCTAATTGTTATACTGTGTTGTTTTATTTTTTCCTAATTATTGCTGATGCACTGGAATTTAACGCAGATGAAGTTGACCCGCCTTCAATATCAGGGAAAATTGTTGAGTGCTCTTGGAATAAAGAAGAGGACTGTTGGTCCTGCATGCGCATTCGAACAGATAAATCAACTCCTAATGATATCAATACTTACAGAAAGGCACGTCTTCCTCTCCTCTCTCACACATGTACTATATCAAATTGTTGAATACTACCGTCAGTTGCACTGGTTACAAGGTTAAGAGTTTTGTTTGCTTCTGTAGAACTTTACATTTATGTTCTATTCTTCTTTCATGAAATTGTTCTGTGATCAAGACCAGATCCTGACAGTGTTCACTGTTGATGGGCTGTAACTGCTTGCTTTGAATGCAATATACCTTTATCTTTTACAACTCTGCGTGAAGTTTGCAGCTAGGGAGTTTATATGTGCTGCAAATACTGATTCCTCCCTATTAATTTGAGTTCGTGATGATAATTCAGTTGTGCTGAGGCGCTCCAAGATACAGTTGTGACATTTATTGGTTGGATTTAGTTTTCAAATGCTGTGGTTTGATGAATTGACTTGGGATTTAGGACTTGGGGCGCATCTCATTTCACTTGCTTGCTGTCGTTGCCTTGCTGTTCTGGTTGTGTCATGAATCAAGATGTGTAGAAATCTAAGATTTCTGTTGGGCATGAGAAAGCATAAAGACAATCCTAACCTAACATTTTTCCTCTGGTAAATGGACAGGTAATGAGGAGCATCACTGATAACATTACTGAAGACAAGCTCCTGGAGGAAATATATGAGATCATGAACCTTCCTATGTATGCTGATAGGAAAGCAAAGGCTCACGCGCGAAGTATGGCTCAACAACGAAGGAGATGATTAGGATTGGTTATATGCATTCGTCTTACTTCTTAGAATTATAGAGAGTTGTAACCCTACAACCAACAGATGGCAAAGGCTAGCTGGCCCAGGCTGTAGCATGCATAGATAATGTTACTATATCTTCATAGCGAGCCTTATGCAGGCCGAGAATTTTTTTTTCAATATGATCTTTCTGTTGGTCATTCACATGTGTCATTTCAGAATGCTGTAAATCTTCAATTAATCCTGTATTCTGTATATCCCTCTTTTTTTGGGCTATACCTTCCTTTGGTTCAAAATCGCTCCAACATACAACCAGGGTTTCCCAAACCGCCAGGGCCGGGGTTACCACGTGGTAACCGTGAAAAACTGTATAAAACCGTGTAAAATTTATCAAAAATTCAAATTATTTTTAAAATTTATTTGAATTTAAGGAGGATACCGCGGTATTTATATTACCGTACCCTTGTGGTAAGCCCGATAACCGCGGTTACCGGCGGTAAGGTAAACCTTGCATACAAATGGGGGTTGTACAAATAGGATGTGTCACTTATTAGTGATGGTGGGAAGATGTCGACAACCACAATGCACACATGTAATGTGCATGTAATGAAAAAGTGAAGAGTAAATTTTACAAAACTATAGATATTCTAGTTAAATTATTATAAAACCACAGATTTAAAGCGATGTATCACAAAACTCCATATTTAACTAAATTTATCACAAAACTACAAAGATTTATGGTGAAGTGTTATATTTGAGTTATAAAAGTCTAAGTTTTGTGATTGACTTGACAAAAAAAACTGTAGTTTTATGATAATTTTGATGCTAAATCTGTAGTTTTACAGTACTCCACCTTAAATCTGTAGTTATCTGAAAAAATTAGTGTTAAAATGTAGTTTTTGGTACATCACCTTAGATTTATAGTTTTGTGATAATTTGACCATAATATCTGTAGTTTTGTGAAATTTACTTAAAAGTAAACTTACAGATGGTATACTAAAGTATGTGATGTTTTCTGTCTTAAGAGATATCTTTTGTCTAGGGGTCTCATCGGATGGCTTATTTGGTTGAGGCTTGGGCCAAGGCTTTTCAGCCAAACAAGTGGGACCCACAAGTGGTGGATAATTATGTGAACTCTCCAGTGACCATACACAAAAAATAAAAATCCAAATACCACCAGCCACAGAAAAATCCTTCAACAGCCATATAAGCAAAATAAGCCAAACAATGGCTGAATTGAACTTGGCAGATTTGGCTGATCAGCCAAAGCTTCATGCCATCCGATAAGGCCCTAGGTTATACACTTCTTTGTAAAATATAGCAACTAATAATCTAAGATCAGATTGGACACTCTGTAATACTATGAATCTGGGTAGGCTCTATCCAAATCACTACTCCAGTATAGTATGTGTCTAATCTAGTTATAGCTTGGTATATTTCGAAACGGATGTAATATTCTAGTAAGTTGTGCATGTGGTTGGCCAACAGATAAACATATTTTTTTTTTGGATTTGTAAGGAAATACAAAAAATAGCACTATTATGGTATGTACTTTCTCCGGTTTCATCGGTTTCATAATTCTTAGTGTTTTGGATAAGATTGAGGTCATACTTTTATACCTTTAACTATCAATATTTTAAAAGTATTTAGTTTAAAGACACTAGATTTATTTACAAATTACTATAATAATAGTAAAAAAGACATTTATTTATTGTATGTATTGTAATAGAAAAGATATAGTCAAACATATCATTGTTCAAAACATAAAAAATTATGAAACCGGACGGAGTACAATACCAATATAAGTTTGCTGATGTGGAAGAAATAGGGAAAAGAGAGATAAATATGATAATTACTTATGATAATGGTTTAACATCGACTTAGAATTTATAAAGAAAACTTTTTCTGCATATGAATGGAGACAAGGAAAGCGAGCTAACAAAAAAATTGATTTGTTGTATTACCTGTGAGTCTTTTATCATCTCAGTTGTTATAGGAGAGATCATATCATGATCTACCTTTGAACATCTCCTTATATTTTCAGTCATCCTGTGATCCAATCCTAGCATGATCATGAAAATATCCCATCTCTATGTGTTTTTGCTCCTATTTTATTGGAATGGACAATACTATCGAAGCCAAAAAGGTTATGCTTATATGTTGAGCTTTGAATTGCTCTAATTTGTAAGTGATATAGTATAGTTATATTTAAGTTTTAATATGTACTACTCCTATATTACTACGGAGAAGATTCTGCCTCCGGTGAGGACACGTGTCGACGCGCGAACATACCCTTTCTCATCCCTCTACTTCTACCCAATACCTTAATTTAATTTTTTCTCGAATAAACCTTATCTTCTCACTAAGCTTTACATGTTTAGTGAGTTGTCACAGATCTAGCGTTCTTTATTTACCGTCTTCTAAAGTGTTTTGATTTAAAACAATTTAATCGAGTTACTTCCTCCGTTCCAAAATACGAGAGATTACTTCCTCCGTTCCAAAATACGAGAGATTTTTTATCGGATGTGGCATATATATTTTGTAATGAAAATCCCTAGTATTTTGAAACGGAGATAATATTTCATAATGGGCTGCCTGGGCCTCAGGGCTCCCTGAGCACGCGGCCTTGTTACTCGATCTTCCTCCACGTCGACACAATACCACACCCATCCCCCTGCCCTTCGCCGTCTCCCACCTCCACCTCACCTGCGAGCAGCGGTGCCTCCTCTCCTCCTCTGCTGCCTCCGCCGCGCGCATCCTCCTCCCATCCATCTCTTCTCGGCCTCGGCGCCCGTTTCCTCGCTACTTCGCCGCCTGCGCCGATCTCCATTAATCCATCCATCCCGCGAGGGGGAGCAGCGGGGTAGGGGTGCCGTCGTCCTGCCGCTTCCGCCTCCGGTGAGCGCCCGTGCCGACGCGCGCGCGCAAACCCTTTCTCATCCCTCCCCCTTGTACCCAATACCTTTATTTTTTTTTCTCTCGAATTTGCCTTAGCCTTATCTTGTCATGTACTCCAGAATATATTAGGAGTAGATCTATCTGGAAGCTAGGTTTTCTCTCTGTCTTAATAACCCTTTATAGGACTGACAAGTAATAACAGTTTTTGCTACCCCGTCTAAAAGAAATATGTTAGGTTGCTTAATTTCCTAAGCATGGGTTGCAGTGGATATCTTAATCAACTCACAAATGATAAAATGATGTGTAATTAGTAGTAGTAATTTGTTAAGAGGGATTTTGAGGTCTTGACATGTCATAGATTGATTCATTCGGAGGTGGCCACTACAGTTACAGTGGCTCAGCATCAGAAGATACTGATATGCGCGCCTTTTGTGGTGTTTAGAGCTACCTCTCTTTGATGGCATGGCATCTTGAGAAGTTGTCCCTTGATTGCCCGCCTTCTGTCTGGGCTCGATGACCACATGATTGTTGCTTAAAGTTCACCTTTTGTGTGTGCTTGTGTTACATTTGATAGGATAAAGTTACCCTTTGGTACCACATATGGTAACTATGAGTGCCGACATTTGCGTTTAGTGTTTAGAATGTGACGTCATTTACAATTAAACCTTTTCAAAGTTTTGGGAAAAATTAATATTTTTTATGGCTATTATCCATTTCCATTACGATAAAAGATTACGAAAAGTAAAATAAGTACATTGACCAACATATAATTTGAACATAACTTCCTCTGAAGGATAACTTAGATTTCAGCTACAACTTAGGAAACTATTTACTCACCTAAGAGCTAGGTAGCTAAACATGCCATACGCTCAGACCTGCTACTTCTAGAACCTTTAGATCCCCAAACAGGGCCTTAAGCCATTATAAGGATTTGCAACAGGTTTCAGTCAAAACTAGTGCTAAATGTTTGGGGCCATTTGCCAGGTGAGGAAGGAGGGTGGGAATGGAACTAGGAAGTGAATGGAACCACAAGGAACTATTCTCTCATATTGTCATTCTCCACCCTAAACTGTGCTGGCGGTGAGCACTGGGAATTGGAAATCATTAAACTCCACATTGATTGATTTATTTCTTAAACGGACCATGCTTGTTCCGATGCCATTGAATTGATTTTGATTGTTATGTAGTCATGTGGTACTGGTATACCATTATTCTTTTCCCTTATATTTTCCACAACAACACCCCCATGCTCCGCACAAGTCAGCCATGGATGTTAACCATCAATTTGTAAATACTGCCTTCACACTTCTAGCATCTAGAGTCACTTCTGCCAAAATTATGCAGTGCCATGGTTCACAGGGACAATACTTGAGCAGATTTTTTTTTAAAAAAATTCTGGTCTGATTTGGAGAGTTATGGGATTGGAATGGGATTCCTCTAGTTTCCCCAGTGCCCTTATCCCTATTGGTTACCGGTGGTGCATTTCTCTTTTTTTTGGGGTTAAAATGGAAGTACTGATTGCATGCTGGTTCTTTGGATTGTTAATTATTTTCTGAATGAGCAAGTTGCGGACTGCTTTTATAGGAACTCATATAATGTTTTGGTAGATAGGTCTTCCAGTGTTGAATTATATCTTGTGGCATACCTTGTGCCAACCAATGGTATTATTTTTCGGTCTGTCAGAAGGTATTGCTGACATTTCTTAGGCAAATCAGTTGGAGAGTCTCCCTCTGTGTTATAATGCCTTGTTAGCATTATTTTATTTTATTTCATATCCATCCTTGCGGTGCTGTTTAATTAATACATATTGTTTTTTCATACCGTTAGTGATGAACCTAATCATTTACTTTTGTCGCTTCCAGGACTAGGGATCATGTCAGGAAGAGATCGTCTGCCACGTCGCTTTATAGAGGATGGCAGGGGCTACCCTGACATCCGTGTAGTTGATGAACGTAGGGGCTATCCTGACATCCGTGTAGTTGAGGATCGTAGGGGCTACCATGGTATTCGTGCCATTGAGGATCATAGGGGCTATCCTGACATCCATGAAGGCCTTGTCATGAGGGTTGCACCTCGCTCTCACACGGCTATGCCGGAGGAAGAAATTGAGATTCAGGGGGCCGAATTCAGGAGGCTTATGGCAGATCACCGTGCTCTTGCTGAAGAACGTTTGGCCTTACACCGGGAATTACAAGCTGGAAAAGATGAGGTCCGTCACTTGAACACGATCATTGCAGACATCAGTGCCAAGAAGGAAACTTATATCGGTGAGCTTGTTGACAAAAGGAGGAAACTTGAAGCTGAACTTAGAGCAAATGAGTCTTTAAGAGATGAGATTGTGCAGCTTCGGGGTGAAATTGATAAGCACCTTGTAGTCAGGAAAGAGCTCTCTGCGAAGTCTGCATCTATCATGCATGAACTAACCAGGGAACAATCTAATAAACAGCAGATTCCTATGTTGAAAGCAGAGATTGATGCCCTTCGACAGGAACTTGTTCATGCAAGGTGTGCCTCTTTTGCTAGCTCTGATTCTCAGATACCTTTGTAAGTTATTCAGAGGCTTTAAGTTTTAAGATTGATTTGACTTTTTGCAGGTCTGCATGTGAATTAGAGCAGAAAGGAAATTTTCAGTTGGTTGAACAGAAGAAAGCAATGGAGAAGAATATGATTTCGATGGCACAAGAAATTGAACAAATGCGAGCAGAATTAGCTAATTCCGAAGGGAGACCATGGGCCCCAGGTATGCTTGGGTATTTTACAGCATTTGTTTGTTGACCTCTCATTTCTCTTCCATGCGTGCTTCATTTATTTGACAGTAATCGTAAATGCTATCCCTCTGTTAAGAGAAACCAATCAGAGTTTTAGATAAAAAATTGCAGTAGGCTTGTGTGTATGGCTAAAATCATGATGCATTCACTTTACATTTTAACCTCGAAGGACTGCATGAACTTCTGCATATTGTTGCATTTCTATTGACTATGCATCTGCCATCTCCAGTAGGATGTTAGATATTGACTTGTTTTTGCTGTTTCATGGGGACAGCACTTGTGATTATATTGTCTGAATTTTGTCTGTATGGGAAATACTTGCATTGTCCCCAACTCCACATTGAGCCTTAGGTGCCTTTACTTTTGACCTGTAGATTTCTTGCTTGAAGGTAATTATCAGGTGCGCTCAAGTCATCATGAAGTGGATTTTGGCATTTGGGTAATTGCACAATTAGGGGCCATATATTTCCAATATAGTGAAGGAACCAATACTATATTATGTTTTGTCCCATCTTTGCTGCAACCTATGGAGTCTGATTCATTTTGTCTAAGCATAGCATATAATCATGTCTCTACATCTTTTTTCCCCACTTCTTTTATCCTCATCTGTTTAAAGGGTCATCAAAATCCTCCAAGATTTACCTAGTTCCATTGCTTCCCACCAAAAATCCTGAAAAGAAGATTGTGCATATCAGTGATGAAAATTTAGTGATCTTGATTTCTTGCTGGAGAAGTCATACCAATTCTTGTTTATTGAGATCAATTATCAATAGGGCAGTGAACAGCTGCGTTCGTTGTAAGCCACATCTACTGAGATGTGGGCTGTCTCTGTCTAGTGAAAGCCGCAAGCTGTTATAGTGTCATATATACTTTTTTTTTCTGTGTGTGGCCGGTAAGTGAGGTCCAGCAAATTGTTAACACTAACATTGGCAGTTTGGCCCATATTTATTCATCAACTGGGTTATGAAGGAGAGTTGACTTAGCTTTAGCTGTTCCATATATTTCTATTTATTGCAGGACGCCTGGACCTAGTGCTAAGCTATTTAAAACATTTAGCAATGTACATATGGTACATCAAAATATATTAAGCTTGCTTTTTTTTTTTGAAAAGTTATGAGCAAGCTTTTTTTCCCTTGAAAAGTCATAAGTAAGCTTATTTTTTTCTGAAAGAAGGAAACAGTCTGGTGTCAACTAAATCATAAGTTTGAGATTAATAATTGACCATTTATTTTCCAGTATCCTAACATTTAATTTTTGGCCTCCTATATGCCCGCACGTTTAGCATAGTTTAACAGTCCAATGGGGCAAATTCAGGACTATTCCTTATCAATGATGAGTTCTTCAATCACGCAGACTTGTAGTAACAATGTTCTGAAAAGCACTAAGTGAATGGCACCTGCTCACTGATCAGTCAGACTGGGCATCCTCCTAGGCATGCTATACAGCAATAGGCACAAGGCAGGATACCTAGGAGGTCTAGACAGCTGCCTTAGCCTGGAGGGTGGTTTTCTCCTAAGTAGATTCACTGGAACAGTTTATATTGCTTTAGCATTGACACATTACATTTCTATGGAACAATGTAGAACTTTTTTCATGGTTGTTTACCTGATGTTTAAGGTGCGACATATGGGATGAAGCTGGGCAGCCCTGAAGTGACCTTCCCTACTTCATATGGAGATAACTACAATATCCATGTGGTACGATAATAAGAAATATAGCAGATATGATACTTCCTTTGTTAGGCTGAAATGACTCCTACTTACTTTTTTCTAAAATTACTATTTTGTTACCAGGGAGGTTCCGAGAAAGGTCATTCACATCTTCCTGAATCAAGCTCATGGGGTACATATGACAACAATCGCCTTCAGTACCGTTAAGATCGCAGCTGCTATGAAAAAAGTCCGTGAAGACTTCTGGGTCCCATGGTCATATCACATGGTTTAGATTATCGTATCTACCTCCTTTTTTGTGGTACAATCAATAGTTATCTTTCTTAATTAAAATTGAAATGCCTCTAATCATTTTCTTCTCTGTGTGTCATATAAAATATGTTCCAATGGTAACTACTGCTTATACTTTGGCTCGATACCTATATCCAAGTTTCCTTGGTTATATGGATCCATGACACAGTTATTTTAATATGACTTGGGTATATATATGATATAGTTTAGTTAATGACTCAGTCATGCCACATATGGAGCATGAAGTCTGAATTCTATGTGGAGATATAATTAAGCATATCAGAGAAATGTTCCTTCCATCATGTATTACATGTCATTCTGAAAAAAAACCAGTGAGCTTTTTATGAAATGAATACACATTGTTGCTTGTGTTTACTAGTATGGGTCTATACCCTAGATTTTACTCTTGACAATAACTAATTTATTGTTTCTCTCACTTTTAGTTTTGCAATGGTATCTATGTTAAGGGCGTTAGTCTCTTTATGCTAGATTATTTCAAGCGTTTATTACTTGTTACTAGATTTCATCAAACATGGTCACATGGGCAGCAAGCTGTTTTTTGTCGAGCTCTCTTGCCAAATTCCCAAACGGCATTTTCTTCAGATACCATACTTTTCTTATCTAGGTTGACGTAGGTCAATGCTTTTACCAATAGTGAATTGCGATAAGATGATGGCTAGATTAATGTCAACCGCTGCATATTTCAAAGTATAATGTATCAGTGAACCAAAGACTGTTATCAGCAGAAGGGGATGCAAAATAGAAGTGATGTTTGTTGTGTTAGAAGTTATTTGCCTCAGTCAATCTTTAAGGCCATCATACCTCGAAGAAGTCTATATTTAGGATCATGGTTGCCTTCCCTTTTTGGGGGGTTTTGGCTCAACTTATATGATGTAGTTTACCTACCTAAGTTGTTCATCTGAATTTGTTTGCCTTTGGACACATGAATGATGAGTATTTCACATTTCCTATCCTTGTGAACTGTTCATGTGGAAGTGGAACTTGTTCTTACATACCTTTTGTGAGCTTGATTAGAAAGTGCTTCTCACTTATGGGGTTTAAATTTTAATTATTAAGTCTGATATTATTCTGACCGCTCCTAAAATATTTTGGGACTGCGTGTCCTGAGACCATAGTTTCAATCTCATGTCGTATTATAGAGAGTGAGCTTAGTCACAGACTTGGCAGGTACTAGGTTTTCACCATTGTACATCTCAATAGATCTAGTGGTCAGTCAGGAACATATTTGGCCATTTTAGAAGTCTACAGGTAATATTAACCTGTATAGCTTTACATATGCATGAGCATATCACCTTGTGCTCCCTGAGGTCAGATTACCACGGTGGCTGCAACTCTGATCCACGTGCCACTTTGCTACCTGAGGTCAGATTACCAGAGTGGCCACTTCGCTACTTGTCAAGTTGGCCTTGTCCTGTACTGGATTGTCTACTGGGACATCCAACTTCAACATGTATTAGCAGTTCTGCTTTCTGGAAGTGGAGTTTTGATACCAGCAGTTTGTGTACTACCAAAACCTGAGGTTAATATTTGAGTTGCTGCTACTAGCCTTTTTCGGGGTTCATGGTGGAACGTTCTAGGTGATGTTAAGCTGTACATAGTGAAGCATCACTGTTGCTAAATTTGCCCTTTACCTTGTACTCTTGGAATGATGACGGGCAAAATAAATTCTTGCAAAGTGTAGGTGGAACTATGCATGACTATCATCAACCAGGTGTTAGAGATGCATAAAGTGGTTCCTTCTGAGTTACATGCCTAAATTGCAACTAGATGAACCTGCCTCCTGTTCTAAATGTGATATCTTCAAGATGAGCACTATGGACGCTGATTGGCATTTTGGTCCATTTTCTGTATTTTGGAACCTGGGCATTGCTGATCGACTACCGGAAAGGTCTGCATAACCATGTTTGGTTCAAATTTGCGGAGTGTCATTTGCCTAAGCCTGGAAAGACCATATATCTACAAAATAGTGTATCATGCCTGAACTGTATGAACTCTTTAGCTCTGGAACGCTGCCTCAATAAGGGGAAATGATATCAGTGGTTCTGTATGGTTGCAGCCAATGGAAATTTGGTGTGCTCTGCCTGTCTGCAATAGACTTCTTAAAGCATGCTGCAGATCTGAATACAAGGTGGCTGAAGAGGTTACCTTCCAATTTTTGGGCTACATGGGTGCACCCTTTAACATACAAGGTCCATGTAAAGAGCTTATGGATATTAAGTTGTGTTGGTGGTTCATGGGGTATAGCTTTTGTGGAGAACAGGAAATGATAATAAAATTGATCGAATTACAGAGACCGTTCTGATGTTTTCAAATGACACAGACAAGCTGGTGATGACTTGGCAACCATGAGGCAAGTAGTTTCTTCATCCACAGCAGAAGTTGCACTAAGTTTTTATCTGTTCTATTCTTATAATGCAGCTTCCTTAACCTCTAGTAAAATGTTAGCTTGCATGCTCTTAGGATATTTGAGTCAGCTCTGCTGCTCTAGAGTAACCCATATCGTATGCTAGATATCATTTTCCTTCTGAGAATTGGTGATTTTAGATCCTGTACCATTGGAAATTTAGAACCAAGCCTATACTTAACTGTTCTTCTGGTTGATACCTTTTGGAACTTAGTGAAGCAGTTAATATGCCATATTCCAAGAAACCTTGTTGGTGATGAGGCTTCTCCTTCAGATGGTTATCCCCATATATGTTGATTTATTGCCATGAATAAGCTTAGCTGAATGCGGCATTTGTGCCTTTAGGTAACATATGATTAATGTTTTGGCAAGAAATATGTCCATATGACCCCTAGTCTACCCAACACTTCCAACTATAAAACCACTCATCTGACATTTTGTATTGCTTAAGTGGTGTGATAGGTAATAGGTTGATGGTTTTTCCATGTGTTAACAAGGTTGCCACATTAGAATAATGATCTGGTGGGTTTTGAGCTAGTGGTAACATACCCAACATATGGCCCTACGAGCTAGGGGTGCTGGGTGGAAGGGAGAGAAGCAGTGAGATAATTGTGCTCTTGTCTAGTGAACATGCGGGAGCCCCAAATAATGGAATGAGTTAGTGAAGGGGTGGTTTTATCAGTCGCCTTGCTGGTGATGGCATCATAGAAGGGGCAAAGTAAGGCACCATGCGAGTGCCGCAGTGCTTAGATGTAAGTGATGGGTGATAGACCATGCACTTGCCTTGGATAGTGAGGAGTCATTTCGTCATACAATGTATGGGAGGCATTGTTGATTGTGTTCTCGAGGACAACAAATCTTGAGCAGTCATCCCGTACCTAATGTACTGGTTTAGTAGGGAAGCCTTTTGTTAAGGTGCCCTTAAGAAAGGGGTCGTCCCAAACTTGTGGAGTGCGATGGGGACTTGGATATAGATTGTGTGCTGAGTGAGGAGCTTTGCAGAGCGTAATCTGGTAGATGTATTCCACTGCAAGATATTAAGTGTTGTCCGTACTGAAGATAGGTTAGATTACATTAGGTTAGTTCTGATGGTGGGACATGCTGAGCGTAGCATGGGGAGATATCCTGAAAGTGTTGGATCCGGTTCTACCATCATTGGAAAAGGCAGGTGTTTGAAAAATCAAATTCCAGGACAGCAAACCACTAAGAGATGATGACACAAACTTCAATAGATTTGTACTGTGATATCCAAACGATAGAGCCATGCATTGGCAGTGGGGAGGGAGGGATAAAGATGATTGGAGACTTAGCTAGGGAGAAAGATGATGGCCACACAGTGCTATCTGCTGGAGCTGAGGAAAAATTTAGTGGTGTCGCATTCCTATGAAAGAGAAAGTATGATTGAAGGAATGACAACAATATAGCGGCGTTCGAGAATGCAGTTTGATGCAAGTAATTGGACTCACTAGGTAGAAGATGATGACAAGGCGAAGCCGTCTGCTGGAATTGAGAAGATGGTAGTGGCATGACATTCCTGTGGGCATGATCATATTTGATTACGTAAAAGCTAGAGGGTGTTTGAGAATGCAGTTTGACACGATAGATTTGGAAACATGCTCACTGTGGTGTGCGGTGTCCATAGTGTCGATGATGCTTGTAAACCTCGTGAGGGCATGGGGCTTTGAGTGATGAATGTTATTCCGGAAATCGGTGCATGGCACTCTCCTCTATCTTCTCAAGTCCTTAACCGCCTCCCTAATAAAAAGGAGACAGTAAATTCCAAAATAGACTAAATATAGTCTGAACGTTCCTAAAAGTCCCTCAAATGAGATAATATAATAAAGAACCCAATGTAGACAGTATGCAAGGGTGCTCCTAAGAATCCAAAAGAGGTTGCTCAGAAGAGATAGATGTCGTGTAAAGCCTTTCTTTTTACGTGACAGGAAAAATTGACTATGGTTTCCCCTTTTTGTTTGCAAACAATTATGGGAATAGAATAGAAAGCAGCTAACTTTTCATGGTTAATGCTGTTGCTTGTTTTGTTTCACTAGTTTGAGAGAAACATTATGGTACTCTACATCTGTGTGAACTGTGTTGCTAAACAGAACTACTGAAGAAAACATGGCACTTCTTTGGGAAAAAAAATGCTGTTAAACTTGTCATGAAAATGGTAGTCACATGTTTGTTATAATTTCACACATGGTTGGACTTTTTAAAAAATGTACTGTTAGAAAGCAGCATCCTTTATTGAAGCAGAGTTTTGTTGAATTCGTGGTAGGGTTTTTGAAATGTTAGTCCATGATCTCAAGAATATTATGATTTGGATGTATATGTAGCTTAGATTTATTTTATTCAAATTCTAGATAATAGATACAACAATTGAATCAACTAAGGGTATAAGACCAAATTTCCTGCAATGTTTTGTTTGAAGATTACTAATCTGTATCTCGAGAATTATTCTTCTAATTTCAAATTTCTGCTGGCTTAAAAACTGGAGTGATATCCTTGCTGCATCTCCAAAACTTCTACTGGAACTACATTGGATAACATGAAATCTCAGTGTACCGATTTATCTTGTTATGTGATAAACCTGGGTACATGGTACAGTGCAGTTAGGAAATGGAAGCGGAACAGCTTTGATGAAATTGAGACTATAATCTAGCATGTAACCTTTGATCTAAATCCATGGAGAGGATCAACTTAATACAAACTCTTTTTTTGCATGTATAAATTGCACATTGTTTTCTTCCTGAACATTTTAGCTGCATATGAGTTCCAGTTTGTTTTTACCCTACTCGTCTCCCTTCTGTTTATTATCAGATTGATGCCTATTGACATGTTTATGTTAAGTGATTAAGTGGTTTCTGTTATATTCATGAGTAATCAAAGTATAATTTCTGTAGTATGTGCTGCTTTTCTCCTATTACAATAGCTTCTTGTTTACTATTTACACAACTGCTTATGCCTTTCTGTTTTCCAATAAATGTCTAACGCTGTTTTTGACCATGCAGGTTGAAATCATTAGTTGGTCTGTCCCTCTGACTGAAGATATATTGCATTAATGAGAAGACAGGGACATCTGCTTGAAGAAAACAGTAATACGGGGAGCTGCTGATGCCGAATCTTCTCTAGCAGATCAGTTATGCTTCTAGGCATGTGCTCTTTGGACAAGCAACAGATCGGCATATCTAAACTTTCTGATCTCAAGACACGAAAATGTTCCATCAACTGGAGACACGAGCAAAATGTTAAATCAACCAGGAGAATGCATAAGCATCTACAGTATTAATGCTTGATGGAGATGAATGTGACACCTTCGGATGATTGATTCATAAGCAGGCATTGTTCTTTTGGGAGAAAGGATAGTAGATATTGATTATGTACTACGGAGCTGTAGAAACTTTCAGCTGCCAGCTTGTCAAGATTATAACAAGTTGCTCTCATCGTGTGCTGCATTCAGGAAAGATGTGAGGCAGGAACTATTATAAGGTTGAACTGAAAGCCTTTCTTAACTCTGTTTGATCGAGGCCATGTTGTGTAGCGGTATTGATGATGATGGTTCTTATGGAAAACGAAGAGACTAGGACAAGTTCCATCAACCTTCTTGATAACAAGCGGATACTGTACCTGCTTCATTTTGGTTAAGAGTGTTGCTTGAAATGAAGATCTCCCAGGTCCCCATGTGATATCACATCTTCTCTGAAGCTTGTATATATAACTGAAATGGACTTGTGTCCTGAACCGAACAATTGTCAGCATCATGCCCAAGCAGAATAAACAGATTGGAGGAAAAACAAGAGTTCGAGGTGGAAGGAATCTGACTATGACAAGATGGGCCTACACCTACCTAGTGGCTCAAGTCCAACATCTCACTGATGTATAAGGTTCAAAACCCATCGTAAACCACAGGCACGTGACATTCTTCATCCAAAGGAAACCAAGAGTTCCCCAGCCCCAGGACTGCAGATACCACTTTCCATGCGTTGTTTGTCCCTCCCTGCATCACATGCAATCTGACATGTTTCTGGGGTTGATTCCGGTATGTGGACTCCATTCAATGACTGTTTGTTTCCTGAATCGACTGCACAATTGTGGTTGATGGATGATTGCCAGAACAAGCCGTTGATGAGGATTCTTGTGGGCATACTGATGGACTGGTATTTGCATTGCATATTGCATATGGTTCCTAGTAGTAGGAGGTTTGTGTGAATGTTTTGATCGGTGAGGCTGAGTGAACAGTAGAGTGTTGGTAATCCTACGGCTTTCCCTCATTTTATGATGGGTTGAGGTATGGTCGAGTTTCCATTCGAGTGAGTTTTCTTTTTTCTGGGTGACGTACTGACTTAGATCAGTTTCATCGTGTTTAGTTCCAAAATAATTCCTCAAACTTTCAACTTTTTCATCACATTAAAACTTTTCTACATACACAAACTTCCAACTTTTCTGTCACATCGTTTCAATTTCAACCAAACTTACAATTTTTATGTGAACTAAACACAGCCAAAGTCGTGCCAAGTAAATTAGCAAACGTTCACCTGCGATGCATCTTGATTATACAAACAGACGCTTCGTCTTGCTTCCCAGAAATGAAAGAACTGCCGTTCGATGTTTTTGCCGATATGACCATGAGAATTTCATTATCAAATTGCACGAACGGTTTCCATCGTTTTCTTTTGGTACTCATTATTTGTACTTGTTTTCTTGGTACCTAGTAGTGATTTCAGAACCCTAGGTTAGGTGTTAACCATGCATCTTAGACTAGTGTATCCTGCCGGCCGGCCAAAGTCATTTGCTTTTTTTTACTCTCCAGTGTTGCACTGAAAATATAAGAGATTATTGCATCGAGTTGCCATGTGTTTGTCCATATCGTCGCCTCTAACACTCAAATCGTCCCGTGCCTCAGGCCTCATCTATAAAATCCCTTGTGCATTCTCCAACTCGCAACTACACAAACACCGTGCCAACAAATGGAGAGAGGCGGAGCGGCGGCGGCTGCCGGCGGTGGCGTGGTGGTGTCGCCGTCGGCGGCGAAGGATTCGTGGCCGGAGTTGGTCGGCGTGTCGTCGGAGGCGGCGAAGACGAAGATCGGAGAGGAGAGGCCGGAGTTGGACGTGCAGGTGGTCCCCGCCGACGCCTTCGTCACCACGGACTACAACGCCGGCCGTGTCAGGGTCTTCGTCGACTCGGACGACAAGGTCGCCAGACCTCCCAAGATCGGCTAAGCTAGCTGTGCCCTAATATTTAATTTTAAACCCTTTGTATTTTGCATGAACAATAGAAACAGAAAATAATTAAGCCAGTGCGAGTAGTATGATCACTGTTTCACTATAGCAATAAGACGAGTAATATGTATTCCCGCTATAAATGACATATGCATCGTATGATTACTATTGTTTTCGAAATTTACATGGTTTTCACGGAAATCTGTTTAAGCCTCATTTGGGATGGAAAACTTCTACTGTAATTTTAAAAGAAATTAACAAATTCCAGTGAATATATCTTCTACGGTAATTTTAAAAGAAATTATCTGATTCAAGTGAATATATCCTATAGAATCCATGCCTGTTTCCTGCAAAATTCCTCCAAGAAAGCAAGCAGGGTTAAGCACGGGAATTGCAAAATCATTGAACCTCCTCATTTCACTTGTAATTTGTACAAAATTTATCATAAATAGCCTCGAAAATTAAGGCTTCAGAAAGAGTAGAGGTGGTGCAGCCTGGCCTTGTTCTCCTCCCACCAAACTCTCGCCTTCACCTCGCCAAACTTCTCGCGGCTGCGACAAAAGTCAACGATCGCGCACACGTCAGCACGGCACAAGTCAACGACCCGTACACGTCAGCATGACGCAATCAGTCACACACGCCATGGATGAATGAACACGCCGGAGCTGCGATAGAAAGTGCGGCGTACCTGAGCTCGACGCACCGGAGCTGGAGGCGGTGGCCGGGATAGGCTCCGACGGTGATGAACACGCCGGGCTCGTACTCCTCCACCCACTCCCTCCACGTCGCCGCCGTCGGCTGGTGCTGGTCGCGGACGGCGTCGTGCTCGCCGCCTCCGGTGGTGTTGGGCGCGGTGACGAGGCCCAGTATCGGCGAGCCCAACGTGCCGGTTGACCCGCCGCCGCTGCCGCTGGAAGGGCCACCGGAGAAGGTGGACGTCGACGGCGACCGTGACGACGACTCTGCTCCGTCGTCGTCGTCGTCGTCCTCCGCCTCGGATTGGCATGGGGTGGCCGGCAACATGGCCGCCTCCGCCGCGGCTATCGCCTCCTCCTCGTCGTCGTCGTCGTCGGGCTTGACGAGGCAGTAGAGCTCGGCGATGCGGTCGTGGTTGTCCGCCCACCAGCACTGCGCCGCCCACGCGTCGAACACCTCCTCCCTGAACCGTATCCTCCGTAGCCGGTTGCTGACGCCGTCGGCGCGCGGCGCCAGCGTCAGCAACACCCCCGGCTCCGGCTCCGCCACCCACTCCCGCTCACCCTCCGCCGCCGCCTCCTCCTCCGCGCCACCGCCTCCCGACAGAGCCGAGCAGCACTTGTCGCAGAACTCTTCTTCCTTACCTCCTCCACCCCCCTCCCCCTCCTCTTCCGGCGCGATCTTGGCGGACGCGGACGCCACCGCCGCCGCCGCCGCGGCCGGCGCGGCATCCTTGCATTGCCGCATCCGCCGCCGCCGCGCCAGCGCGTGGTCTCCACCTCGACGACCAATCAAGATCTTGGTGAAGTCGCTGATGACGTTGAATGACTTGGCGAGCCTGCCGCCGCCGCCGCCGCCGCCGCCATGGAAGCACACGTGCATCTGCCTCTGCCTCGCTCTGCTCGTGAGCGAGCTCGCTAGATTTGGGGGGAAGAAGACGACGAGGTGGTTTTGAAATTCAGTTCAAATGCGAGCAGCACGCAGTGAATGCGGGCGGCGTGTACGTGGGGGCAAATACGTGCAAAATTTATGGCGAAAATTTTGGATTCGAATTTAGTGCGTGATTGTACATTTTGGGGGTACAGCTAACGGCTACCGTCGAAATCACCGGAGGCGAGGCGAGAGAGAGACGCCGTAGGATCTGGACCGCACGCTCGTCATCTAACGGCTCTCAGATGGCCTCGTGCTGGAATTATGCAGATGAGTCCCTCCACGTTTGGGTCGCTACTCGCTACCATTAGCTGCGAGCGTTGTAGTTTTTGTGTATTACAACAACAACAACAACAACAACAACAACAACAACAAAACTGCGTGAAAAAAAGTTAAACACAAAGATAGTTTGGATCGTATTACTATCACTTTTAGTTTCCCGTGTGCTTTAATCCGGTCCGCAAGCTTATCATCTGATGGTACAAGTTGGCCGCGGGTTAAAATTATGCAAATGGGTCCCTTGTTCGGATGAGTGACGGTACAACAGAATGCGCTGTTTGGGGACAGGATTTTGGACACGAAGGGCCTGTTCACTTTGATGCCAAAAAAAACCTTATCAAAATTTGGCATTGCTAAAATTTTGGCAGGATTTCTTATATAGTTACCAAAATTTGGTAGCAAACTAAATGTAGCCATTTTTTGACAACTTTACCAAAATTTGGTAAGGTTGAAAATTGCATCAAAGTGAACAGGTCCGAAATAAACATCTGAAATTTCTGAATCTTGTGCTCCATTTGATTTGAGGACTCCTCTTTTGGTCGAGTACTAAATTTCAGGGTTTTTATTCAGGCGGGTGCAAATGCAACGATTCAGCAAATCATATCTCCGCTGAATAATTCATTAGGAATAATTCAGTGCTGTGGATGATCCCAAGTGAAATTTCAGATGCATCAGACCGTCAAAAACAAACACAAGCATGCAGGAACACATGTGTTTGGAGTTCCATCTTCAGAATTTCAGAGACTTGCACTAGAATTGCAAAACCAACCATCAAAAAGCACAAGATTCGTTTGAGTTGCCTATGCAATTTCCCCTGATTTCCTCATAATTCGAACAGGGGATCTTGATCAATCCTCTCTGTTTGCAAAAGAACATAATTCGTTTGAGTTGAAAAGCATCAGAACTCTCAAATTTCAATCCACGTTCCGAATCGAATAAAAACTCTAGAAGCCATGTTGAGCTGTAAAATTTACAATTAAAGATGTTTTGGACCTGGAAATTCTACTCTGTTCTCCGACTCGAAAAACACCAGGAGTTTTCAAATTTCAATCCATGGGTCCTTCGAAACAGAATCAAAATAACTCTGGAAACCGTGCTTACCTGCGAAATTTAAACTTTAAAAAAATTTGACGAACGGATGAAAGGGAACGTGTAAGCAGCTTCTGTGGTGTCGTCGTCCTAGTGGCAGTGGGGCCCAGCTGGCAGCTACATTTGGTCAGTGTGGCTGGCACGTGTCGGGGAGCCAACGTAGTGTGGCCGAATGCTGATTAAAACGGAATAGATCACTATTAGCACATAGGATTAATTAAATATTAAAAATTATAAATTAAAAATGAATTTATTTGGTTTTCTAAAGAAATTTTTATATTTAACTACTTTTTATAAAACGTATCATTTAGCATTTTCGAAAATATGTTTGGGGAGAACGATACTATCTCAGACAATTTATTGTGGCGAACTCGGCCTTATTAGGAGTATTTACTTGGCTTGCTTGTAAGTCAAAAGGAGTTGACTTTTAAAGTCAACATGGCATAGTTGCGCCGAAGTCATAGTGATGACAACCCTGCTATAGAGGCTTGTGGTCTTAAGAGCAAGTATAATAGGAAAAGATAGAGGGATAGAGAGGAGCAGGTGCTTAGCGAAGAACAAGCACTGGCACAAGCTCCTATAAACCTGCTCTATAAGATGGATGTGCAGGACGGATAAGAGTGTGGGATAAAGAGGGTTAAGGAAAAGACGATATATCTGGGTGAGTAGGATCTAGTAACAACATGTATAATGCTTGGCACAAAACGGCGGATGCCTCCGCTGCGCCACGCGCGTGAGACTCTGAAGATTGCATAACTGAAGAAACTTGAAGATTCAGAAATCAGAACGCGGCTGTGTGTTATACACGGGAGAGTGGATGAACGGTTGGGATTAAAGGATAACGGTTCGCTGGGATGGTTATGGAGATCCAAGGGCTACAAAGCGCCGCGACGGACTACAGATTGCTTTGTTTGCCGTACTGTAGTCATCATTCTTTATCGCGTAGCTCTGGAGTCTGGACTCGATATAAAGCCACGAAGCAGTCACAAACAAACTATGCGAAAAGTTTTTATTCCTCATTTCTTGTTCTTGCGCTGCACTCTATATGTTGTCAAATCCAGCTCGATTTCATCAATTACTTTACTATTTTGCTGTGTTAAGGTTCCTAGTTAGTTAGCCACTAGTCCGATTATCTGAATCTCACTTGTTCTGAACCAAAATCTGCTCGGTTCCTTTTTTCCTTCTTATTTTCTCTTCTTCTTCTATTCCTCCCTCTTCATCCGGTTCTTTTGTAACTCTTTATGCAACACCTTGACTACCATTAATACAATGGTTATAAGGTAGAGTCTCTCTACCTTTTTCAGTAAAAAAAAAATCTGCTCGGTTGCTGACAGGGCACCAGTGTTCGTGGTTCCGGCCTTCACGAGTAATCAAGATCTTGGTGAAGTCCCTGATGACGTTGATGGAAGGTGCATCTATGTGCCTCTGCTTTGCTCTGCTCGTGGGCTCGATATGTTGGGGAAGAGGACGATGTGGTTAAAAATTCAGTTCAAATGTACGCGCATAAGATAATTTTTTGTGTGCCATATTCCCTGGAGAGATTAACATGTAATTACATTCAAGATGTAAAAAAAGTAACATGGTTAAGAACATATGTTGTTAGTACAAAGTTAATCAAACTTGAATTACATCTCAGAGTTAAATTTCTGAACAACATACAACAATTTTAGAAAGTTCTCCTACTACCTCAAAGAAAACAAACTTCACAAAAAAAGTTTTACCATAATAATGTCTTAGTCCATGACTTAATGTCAGGTTTTTAGTCAGGTTTCTCTGCTGAATACATCAGACAACTTCCATCTTCACTCTTCAGAATTTCAGATTTGCAGTAAAATTGCAGAACCAATCATCAAAGCACAAGATTCGTTTTGAGTTGCAATGTAATTTTCACCTAATTTTATTATAAATTGAATTGAACAGGGGATTTTGATGAATCCCCTGTGTTTTTACAAAAAGAACATTACTGTATACATTCTTAGCATTTACATAGCACAAATTCGTGCAAAACCATGTTGATCACAACTTGGGATCAATAGATTACATGACTAGTAGTTCATCCAACTAGAAGCCCTGCAGCTATCTTATCTCGGTGCCTCGTTGGCTGGCCGCGTCGTCGTCGTCGTCTCCGCCTTGTCAGCGTCAGTCCGCCGCCCGGAGGGTGATCCGGCGGCCGAGGTTGCGAGCGATCAAAAACGGCGACCAGCTGCCTCCATCCTCCTCGCCGATCTTGATGTCTGCTCGGCTGCCCGCGGGATCGTGCGCCGGCGTGAGGCAGTAGCGTCCCAGGATTTCCCGGCGCCTCTCGAGGTAGCCCTCCTCGCCGCGGGCGGGGACGTCGTCGTCGTCGCTCTCCTCGTCGTCCTCCTCCGTCACGACGACCGCGGCGGTGGAGGGCTCTTCCTCCGGCGTGGCACGGCGGCGGGTCTCGGCTTGCAGCCGGATCTCCTCGTAGAACCGCTTCCTCTCGAAGTCCTCGCCGAGCACCTTGTCAAGATTGACGCCAGCGCCGTCGAGGAGGACGGTGGTGGTGGCGGCGGCGGAGTCGCCGGAGTTCCTCCTCCGCTGCTGCCGCTTGGATTCCTTCTCGATCCGGCGCTTCTTCTCGGCGATCCACCGATTCTTCTCGGCCTCCCGCGCCACCTGCTCCGGCGTCCAGTGCCGCCGCTTCTGCAGCTCGTACGCCGCCGCGGGGGCGATGTCCCACAGCCGCCTCTCCAGCTCGAGCAACTCCTCCTTAGTCGCCACCGGGACGACGGCGGCGGCGATGGCGGCGGCAGAGCGGCGGGGGAAGAAGCAGCTGGGGAGAATCCAAGACGACATGGCTCGAGTCGAGTCGAGTCGATCGATGCGGTTGTGATTTGTGAAGTTTAGGGCTAATAGGGGATTAGGGCTAATAGGGAGGGGATTTAGGGTTATATAGCGAGTCGGAGTCGGAGTCCGATTTGAAGCGGGTATCCGAAAAGCACGCGGATTCCTTCCGATTTATGAAATTTGGCGAGTTATTAATCAATCTATCTAATGCTGGCGGCAGTATTGATTGGACCACGTGTCACCTCTGAATTAACAGATAAATCCCAAACAACTTATTTGAGAGAGAAAAAGAATTAAGCTAGAGAGATAGAGGTCCATCGATCCATTGAGAAACACGAGAAGACGTCTGGTGGTCTCCTTACTCCTGGACTGACTAATTGTGCCAAATATATGCCGATTGGGCCGATGGACCATGAGACCAACTGACCAAGTTAGATCAAAGTCAACTAGACATGAATAATAAGTAAAATAAAATAAAAATACATAATCAGTATTTATGCATGTTCAATGCAAAATTAAATATTATTTAATATTCAAAATATTTTCTCTTAGGCTACATTTATTTATTCATTAAAGTTAAATGATGCTCCCTCTGTTTCACAATGTAAGTCATTCTAGCCTCTCTCACATTCGTATTAATGTTAATGAATCTAGACATATATATCTAGCTAGATTCATTAACATCAATATGAATGTAGAAAATGCTAGAATGACTTACATTGTGAAACGGAGGAATTATGACCAAATGCATTACTCTTTTACTTGATTTAGTTTTCAAATTTAGAAACCTTTAAATAGTCCTTGCTAGGAAGAATATGGGCATGTATAATCCGCGGAAAACGCCAGCTCATGTGTCCTCACTTGGAAGAAGCACTAAATAGCACACGC